GCATACACGAATTCAAGGCCGACCACTCACCACAAGTAGCACCCTTTCACAAGTATGACGATCGAAAGGGTAATAGGATAATTTAGAAAACAAATCAATTTTGTAGTCATCACGCAAATGTCCTCCAAGAATATAATATAATTCTAATTTAAAGTAAATTATTATACAGTAATTTCATTGTAATATTCTATATTTAATCTTCTAATATATAAAATTCTCGTGTCACAGTTTTCGTTGCCATACTCCTCTGAAACGGCTTGACCGATTCTCATGAAATTTTGTGTGCTTATTGTGTATGTCTGAGAATCGGACAACATCTATTTTTCATCCCCCTAAATGTTAAGGGTAGTCCACCCCTAAATTATTATTTTTATGTTTAAATAAATTACTTATTTTTTACTTGACCTTACTTAAATAGGCGTGAAACTGTGCACAATTTGAGTCTAGAAGTAAGCCTTGATAATAAGTTATTCAAGAATTTTACTAGAATGTTAAAAGGCGACTTCGACTTTCTTTTAAACAAAATTGGACCAAAAATAAAAATATTTTTTTTGTAAGCCTCGTTGCTTGTTATGGCAAACTTTTCAGCGATTTCATTCCATGCATCTTTTTAGCATTCCTATCTTTGTATATGCCGGTTTTTCTATCCCACGACTCAGGGTGTAAATGTACTTCATTAATGAAATCAGTAATTGTCTCGTTAGACCACGTAGTAGTCATTTTTACGTAGTAGCCTAACCTCAAAATGCATCTGATCGCAAAACACAGATATAGCAACAGGCACACTTCACTCATAGCAATATATACTTCATGTCGCGTTGAAAAGGATACACTGTGCCATAATGGCGCGTCTAAACGGGCCATGTTTTGCTGCAATTGATGGCTGCAACACTGTGGCCGGCAACATTGCAAACAATAGCAGCCACACTATGCAATATTGCAGTAATGTCCCGGCCATATAGCCAAACATGTTTTGTATAGCCACATATGGCCGATGTTGCCCCGATGGGTGGCCGGACGATCGCTAGGCTATCGAATTCAACTGCAATATTGCACAGCCAGTTCTCTTGTTGTTTCAGTCACTCTCTTTGCTATGGCATAGTGTATCCTTTTCTACGCGACATGACGTTTGCTTTGAGTGAAGTGTGCCTGTTGCTTTATTCTGTGTTTTGCGATCAGCTGTATTTGACGTTAAATTAAATATTTATTAAAATTTAGGCTACTACGTAAAAATGACTGCTACGTGGTCTAACGAGAAAATTACTGATTTCATTAATGAAGTACATTTATACCCTGAGTTGTGGGATATAAAAACCGGCATATACAAAGATAGGAATGCTAAAAAAGATGCATGGAATGAAATCGCTGAAAAGTTTGGCATAACAAGCAACGAGGCTTACAAAAAATTCAGAAGCCTAAGAACTTACGCAAATAATGAGGAGAAAAAGAAGAAAAGTGGTAGTGCTGGCGGTAAAACAGTAAAGTGGTTTGCTTACGATGCGCTATCGTTTCTCTTAAAACAAAATTCCGCTAATATAGGATTAGATAGTGAAAATGCAACTTCTAACGTAAGTATCTTTAATAAAGTATTTTAGAAATTAAAAATGTACATATCTGTGTATTAAGTATGCATCATATCGATTGATAACTTAAACTTCTTCCCTCTGAATGCTATGTTATGTTACTGAATGTTATGTTATCTTGAACTTGTTCCTTCTAAATATTTATCTTACCATGCTACTCGCCCCTGCTCTGTCATAAAATAATGCATAAATTCGTCTCTTATTGCTTTTGCTCTTGTGGTTGCATTCCTTCCCAATATTCTTAAATCTGTTAAACTTTGTTCGTCATCTCTCCATGAGCCTGGCATTATTCTACCAACGTCAATATCTTCACTATCAAAGGTCCCAGGAGGTGAATACAGAGATCTTGCTCTTGTATTTCGTCGCAAAAAATTATGTAAATGTGCACAAGCCACAACTATATCTTGCACATGTTTTAACTCAACATCAATAGTTGTGTGTAATATACGGAAAACTGAACACAAGATACCAAAAGAGTTTTCTACAATACGGCGTGCTCGAGATATTCTATAGTTACATACACGTTTTGGAGATCCTATGTTCAAATCTAACGTATAGGGCTTGCAAATATTCTCTGTTAAGGGAAATGCATCATCTGCCAGGAAAATATACGGTGTTAACATTTCTCGGCCGGGAAGGGTTTCAGGATGTGGTATGTTGAGAGTTTGACGCAGAAGTGCTTTCCCAAAAGCTGTATGTCTAAAAACTCCCCCATCAGATATACTTCCTTGAACTCCAGCATGTACATATAGAAAATTGTAACGTGCATCTGTTACAGCAAATAGCACTATGCTATAAAACTGCTTATAATTGTAATATTGACTGCCACTGTTCGGTGGACAGGTAATTGCGACGTGTTTGCCATCTAGTGCACCCAAACAGTGAGGGAAATTCCAACGATCCTTGAAATCTTTTGCAACTTGTTTCCACTCTGTGACTCCTGACGGCTTCTGAAAAAGTTTAAAGATATACTAACAATTTCATGTATTCACAGGCGACTGAAACTACACACACTGACATCAATGCTGACCCACGTGAATTCGTAGAATTAGAAACGACTGGCTCTTTGGAAGCCGGCGATACTACTCCAAAACCACGAACTAAAAGGTCCAAGACTACAGATCCACTATTAGAAAAGGCTCAAAATATTATACGCGATGCTGGCGAAAAAAAAAACGAATATGCTGCTTTCGGAGAGCATGTTGCCAACAAAATGAGTAAATATGACGACTACACGCGTTCGCAGGCTGAGTTAAAAATCATGAAAATACTATTTGAATGTGACATGACAATGTACAGAACTCGAGCTGGTACTTCAGAAAGTCTATATTCAGACTTATCCACACCACCTCCTCAAAATCCTCAATCTGAAGATAACGCCGTTTCAGATAAAACACAGTCAAAATTAAATTATGAAGAACTTGTGTCGTTTACTATCCAAAATGATGCATGAAACTGAAAATTAGAATTTTTAAGGACTACCAAATTTCTTACTATGATTAGCCACTAATTGTTATTACTAGAAACCTTTTATTATTAAATTTAAAAAGTACATAATAATTACTTTATTACTAATTACTCCTTATTAATAATATTTATAATAGCAAACTTAATAAACCTATGTCAACTTACCTTGATGTATTCTTTTAATCCTTCTATAATAGCTGCACACACCTCTGGAATAATAGTAGAAATCGAAGCATCTGACACTCGGAACAGGTACATCAAACTTTTAAATGAATCTCCAGTTGCCAAAAACCGTAGAGTTATCGGCAATCTCGTGGTAACAGATATTGCTGTTCTCATGTTTGTATCATTTCTTTTTATTTTTGGTCCAATTTTGTTTAAAAGAAAGTCAAAGTCGCCTTTTGACATTCTTGTAAATTTCTTGAATAATTTATTATCAAGGCTTATTTCAAGACTCAAATTGTCTACAGTTTCACGCCTATTTAAGTAAGGTCGAATCCACAATCTCTTCTTTTTCTGCTTATTTTTTAAAACAATAAAAGCTGCTGCGATCAGTGTGATTTCGTCAGCCATTGTTGCCGGTTTGTGTGGCCCGTTTAGGAGTCTGCATCATGGGCCATACTATTGCAGACATATTGCAACACATTGCCCAGCCATAGATTGTTCGGCCATCAGCTGCATTAAAATATTTTTGTAATGGCCGGACAATTAGTGGCCAACAGTGCAGCCATCAATTGCAGCAAAACATGGCCCGTTTAGACGCGCCATAACAAAAATATTGCAATATTGCAGTTGAATAGCCTAGCGATCGTCCGGCAACCTATCGGGGCAACATCGGCCATAAGTGGCTATACAAAACATGTTTGGCTATATGGCCGGGACATTACTGCAATATTGCATAGTGTGGCTGCTATTGTTTGCAATGTTGCCGGGCCACAGTGTTGCAGCCATCAATTGCAGCAAAACATGGCCCGTTTAGAAGCCCCATAATGGTATTTTGTAAAATAAAACAAATGAGTAAAAGACATTTTAAAAAGACAACAAATATGTAGTCTACAACTATAATAATGTCTGAAATGAAACTAAAAAAATCTTTAATTTACTATCCTACACAGATTCAGAGTTTCTTCTCTTTCTGGGAGGTTCTTTGATGATTGTTCTAGAGTCGCTATAGGCTCTTCGGAGCGTGATAGCCTGTTCCCGAACCGTATGAGCAGGAGTCTCCAAGGAGGGTGGCCGATGTAAATAATACCCATAAGGACCCATCTTAATATTAACTTAACTTTAAAAGATGCATTTTTTTACTATCGTACCAAACCTGTTTATTTATTTTATCGCCAGCCCAATAATTGGTGAATGTCTTCACGAACTTCAATAGATATATAAAAACTCAAACATTTGCTATTTCCAAACTAACCGCTACCGCTTGCCCTTGGACTCTGCCCATCTATGTATAAGGTATACAAGAAGTTCATCTGCTGAACGACCACGACGAAAGCCGTACTGATAATTGCGAATCAGCTGGTGGCCCTCTAGATACCTCAGGAGCTGGCCATAAATAACGGATTCCAGTATTTAGGAGACCAAGGAGGCTAGCGGATAGCTATTTCTAGACGGAATTCTTGTGACGCGAGTATTGTGTGATGGAAAGTCCCAGCTTATAGTCTTTATATGACTAATTACATAGACATCTCTGTATATCATTAATCTAAAAGCTGTAAAGATTAAACTACAAGTCTTTAATAATTTTCATATCCTATTTCCTCACCCTAGAATAATAAAAAATAATTAATTAAATCCTTAAATTTTTACCTATATGGAATAAATTATCACAATCACAAATTAGATAAGATAGATAATTTACAACTACAATCAAGAGATTTATTATTTGTATGACCTATGCTTCTTTAAATAACGATCGACACCTCCTATCTGTTCATTGTCGAAGAAATGATTTTCAATATTTTACATCTTCCGTTTGTGGTTCTGCTATTTGCAGGTAATATTTTATTATCTATATTGTGTTAAACAATTTTGATAATTGGTGTTGTATAAATGAGGCGTTTATCGCTTCTTAGGAGTTGTGAGCAAAATAGCTAAAGACATTGAACGCCGACCTGTGATGTGGTTAAAAAAAAGTTTTTCATACCGTCAAAAGTATCAAACAAACCTAATTTTAATTAAAAAAATTTGGTAGTGGTTGCGTTTTAACTTATTTCGTCATGGTTTTACATTACAATAAATTTTTACCGTCCGTCATGAAGTAGAGTTTATTGATTTATTTGAGTTTTGAGCCTCCATGGTAAATGTTTATATAGTTCATATGTTTATAGTTTGTATGGATTGATTTCGAACTTAACGTTACTTAAATATGTAATTAGGAATATTAAATCGGACTCATAGGGGACTTAATGTATAATAAAAACAATTTTCTTTACTTGGGTCTTAGGATGTGCTCTCGCCAGTTCCAACCGGATTGTTGGGGGAGAAGAGACAAAAATTGAAAATTATCCGTACATCGTGCAAGTAGAGATGTACAATTCAGGCAACTGGAACCAAGGGTGTGGAGCCAATATAATTTTAAGAAACTGGGTTGTGTCAGCTGCGCACTGTTTTGAAGGATGGTATGAATTCATATTTATTCGTTTATTATTAAGATCAAGATACAGGTAATATCACTTATTCCATGTCATTAAATTTGAATCGGTAGACATCCCTACTCATCGGCAAAGAAGACAGAGGGTGTAGGCCGAAAGAAAAAGCCGGCGTAAAAAGCTCTCGGTACTCTTTTAAAATAGCAAATCATCATACAAAATGACTATGGCAAACAACACTTATTTTAAAACAAATATCGTAAATTAATTAGAAGAAGCCTGTCCAGCACTAATCCCAGGCTCTTTTATCAACTAGATAATCGTTAACTTTATGATAAGCCCTTTAACACAGCTTTTATTTAATACATTTCTTAAATTTATTAAAAGGCAGAGATAAAAGAGCCTCTGGGATTTTATTAAAGAAAAGTATTTATTTATTTATTTATTTATTTATTAAGGAACACCAACAGATTACATGTATATATTTTCTAATTAACAATATTGGGTTTTATTCTAGCATGCAATCTAATAATAGGTGTACACAACATTGACTCTAATAAATGATAGCGGACAGAGTTTACTTAAGTATTTGTATCTTTAAACATAGATAAATTGAAACGTGGTAAATATTACATGACTTATGGCTGAGATGACTGAATTTTCTTCTTAAAACTAGGAAGTGAGTCATAATACACGTCAAGACTATGTCTACAACTACATTGGTTAAAATTCCTAAGCATTCTACTGAGGGGCGCATGTTTACCTAGATTGGTTAAGGACTGTGGAACGACAAAAGTATCAGTCTGTCTTCTTCTTGCGTTGATTCTAGGCACTACGAAGTAAATCTTTTTTTAAATATCTGGACAAATAATCGTGCCGTGCATCAACTTGTACAAAAACACCAGGTCCACAATCATACGACGATCCTCGAGAGTTTGCAAATTGAACTTCTGTAATCGATCAACATAATCCCTTCTGTAGCAAAATTTAGGGGTTTTGTACGCCAGGAACCGTGTGAATGTTCTTTGAGGACGTTCTAGTGCATACTTGTGTGTTTGGTATGTGGGATTCCACACAACACTAGCGTACTCAAGGTGGCTGCGCACCAATGCATTGTACAGAGTAATAAGAGTTTTAACATTCTTAAAGTCAGTGGTATTACGCCTAATGAAACCGAGCATCTGAAATGATTTCGCTATAATTATTTCGTGGTGAGGAGTAAAACTGAGAGCACTATCCAGCGTCACACCAAGGTCTCGTATACGATCAACCTCCTCAAGAGCAACTCCATTAATTGAGTAAGAAGATTGGAATAAGTTTTTATTCCTAGTAAATTTTATATGAAAGCATTTACCAGCATTTAAAATCATGAGGTTATTTTTACACCAAGTGTGTATGGCAAGTAAATCCTTTTGCAATAGAGCAATATCATTCGTTGAAGTTATTGTCTTAAACAATTTCATGTCATCGGCAAACAATGAACATTCACTATAATGAACATGATCTACTATATCATTTATAAATAAAATAAATAAAATTGGCCCGAGGTGAGAGCCCTGAGGCACGCCTGAAGTTGCCACATACGGTTTTGATGCATAACCATTTGTCACCACTGTTGATGATCTGAATTTAAGGTACGATGCAAACCAAGAATGTAAGGATCCGCAAACACCAAATGTAATTAATTTTTTTAATAATATATGGTGACAAACTTTGTCAAAGGCGCTACTAAAATCAGTATATATCGCATCTACTTGTATCCGCTTATCAACATGCTCCATGAGAGTTGTGACATAAGGAACCAGGTTCGTAGACACTGATCTGCCGCGCTGGAAACCATGCTGTCTCACACTTATCATAGGTTTAACGTGATAAGTGAGAATTTCACATATAACTGACTCAAACAATTTTGAAAACGTGTTCAGAATCGAGATAGGTCGGTAGTTTTTTACGCTTTCCCTTTCACCCTTCTTATATACTGGGATAATACGTGCTTCTTTCCAAATAGTAGGAAATATTCCTTTGTCCAGGGAAGAATTAAAAATAAGAGTAAGAGGGAAAGCGAGCTCGGCAGCACACCTCTTCACGAAAAGGGGTGGTAGACCGTCTGGCCCAGCGCCCTTTGTATGATCCAGTTTTTTTAAAGCCTTTAGTATGGTTGCCTCTTGGAAAACTATTTTGCTTAATAATAGGTTAGCCATGATATAATCAGGATGGGTATAAGCAGAGGTAGTACTATTATTCAGTTCGTAGACATCGTTATTGAAAGTCGATGAAAAGTGTGTGGCGAACAAATTTACTATTTCATTGCCCGTTGAGCCAGTCCCACTGTCATGTTTCATGAGCGATGGCAACGCATTTGAATTTTTTCGTCTTTCACTGAGGTATTTCCAGAATTTTTTGGGATCTTTATTTATGGCCTCCTCTGTGTTACGTATATAGGCCAAGTAACACTCTGAGTAATGCTTATTACATCGTTCGCGTAGAATTTTGTACTCAAATTCATCACGGGGGTTATTGTACTTACGTGACCGACGCCTAAGTTTATTCTTTTCCGAGAATAATTTTCGAAGTGAATTATTAAACCAGGGTGGGTAATTATGAGATTTTCGATGAAATTTAGGAACGTGTTGTTTGATTATACTATTAATATGTTCATAAAAGATTTCAGTCATCTCATCAATACTATTTGTCACAGAGAAAACGAGACGCCAGTCGATCCCACGCAACTCTTTAAATATCATCGAATAATCAGCCCGGTAAAAATTAAAACCAATGTGCGGCAACTTCGGCAGAAACGCGACTGTTAAATCCAGAACAACAAACAACTGAGGGTGATGAGCATCAAGCTTACTTAAAAGATCCACTGGCCTCTCGAGTGTTGCGTTAGCCACATTTGTGAATACTAAATCTAAAGTTCTATTATTAAAGTTTTTAACATAGTTCAATTGCTTTAAGTTATTTAAGTTAACAAAATCTACCAACGCATATCCAAGAGGGTATTCATAATTTGTTGGTAGGACTGTATCAAGATTGTCATCACGAGACCAAGATATATATGGCAAGTTAAAGTCACCAGCAATTACTACTGCATCCAGTGACTGTATGACACTCGTTGCATTAGCACAAAAACATTCTAGAATATCCTTCGTTGGATAAGGAAAATAGGGACAGCAAATTCCAACTCTTTTCACGTTTGAGTGAGGTGCCTCGATATCCAACAGGACCCAGATGTCCTCACATGATGTTTCCCATGCTTGCATTCGTACAGACTTAATGGTATTTTTCACAGCAATAAGCACGCCACCACCTCCGTCCATCGGTATTCTGTCTCTTCTGTAGACAGTATATCGTCGGTCAATAAACTCATAAGTACATATAGTAGGCACAAGCCACGTCTCCGTCATTATGATGATATCGAAATCATGTTTTTGTATTTCTTGACGAATTGCATTTGTCTTCGTACGCATACCTCTAATGTTTTGGTAGTAAATATTTAATCCTGCCATTGGATCCATAGAACTGTTTAAATGTATGGTCAGGAAGTAATTAACTAATAAGCTTTAGACTTTCCAAGCTACGAATGCAAACAGCTTGGCTGGTCTCGTTTTTTCTTGCAAATATGCGACCATCACGAATCCAAACAAACTTGAAACCAACTTCTTTAGCTTTGCGCCTAGCAGCAGCATGTAGATGCTTGTTCGTGGGGCTCAGATGCTCAGAGACATAAACAGGAACCCTTGCGCCGCCCAATCCCAGTTGGTGGGAGTTAAGCTTTTCCTTCGGGTTGGCTTTATTAAAACTCGATACGGCCGCAAGAAGACGATCTCGAACAGCTCGGCTGCGGAACCTCGCTACTACGGTGCGAGGATGTGGAGTGTCCCTATTTAATTTCGCTACTCGAGTCACTTGCAGCACATCTCCCTCGGCCAAGGGTTGTTTTACCAGCTTATACAATTGCACCACAGTATTTGCCAAGTTCTCAGAAGAATGCTCAGGGAGTCCGCCAATTTCAACGTTCGCCTCGCGCATATGCTGTTCCACCAACGCTAGTCTACTGGTGAGGTCATTTACTGATAATTGAAGAGTCTCGTTTTGCTTTTGTAGCAAGGAGATCGTGCTCACATTGTCCTCAAAAATTTTCTTCATGTCCTCAAATTGAGAGTTGCAGAATTTCAACGCAGATTCGAGTGAAGAGATCTTATCGTTGAAATTTTTGAACGCCTCTGATACGATCTCATTTAAAGATTTTTTTGAGAAAGACTGAAACATTTCGTGCAATTCTTCCCCTAACGATGGCACGCAGAGTATCATTGGACATCACACTGTGCTCAAGACTCGGCAAGTCGTCAGAGCTTTTGCGACGATTCTTATTTTTATTACCGTCTCTCAAGGTGACGTTAGTCGCATCATTCGATGCTACTGTGCCCGGGCGAATAGGGGTATTTGTATTATCCGTTTTAGGTTCCGAGCTGCGGCATTCTAAGCATTTCCATGACTGCTTATTTTCAATGGACATTAGATAAAATCGCTTACTGGAAACGTTCGCACAATGCAAGTCATAAACCAAGCAGCAGATACAGCATTTCATGAACTCCCTGCCAGTGACAGCGGTCTTACAACCGGCACAGTTCTTAGCCATTATTCCTTGTAGATAACTCTTAATATGTGCTAAAAACAATCCCACGCTAAGTAGTCGGAACACAGTACACGGCGAAGCACGGTGAGGCGAGCTCTCGTCGAAAAGGGCTTAAGCGCCGTGCAGTTAGCGGCGCTTACGCGTTAGGCCGAGTCACGCACGATCGAGTGTCATGGAGTCACAATGAATGATGTTATGATTTCACAGTTTACCAATATCAACACAAAAACACAGTCCTGCACTATTAATTCTATTAAATTGAGTTATACACGACACTAATTGAACTTCACACACATTATTTTGCTAAATTCAGACATGGAACTGTACTTTAGACTTCGAAAAGGAATAAAAAAAGAAAAGTATCCCTTTTCCCAAAAAATTATTACTTAGATAGTCTAGTACGGGGAAATTGCAGCCTGCGTTTTTTCCATATATTAACATTATGCGTATGTTCTATTCTAGTATAATATTTGAAAGTTGGCATGACATCGGTTTAAATATACCTAGCGGTAAAGACGTCGTCGCCGCTAGATATATAAAGGCTAGTAAAGTTTAGTAAGTTTAAATAATATTTAAACTTTGTGGAACCAGCGCCCAGTAGAGGTATTTGCAAAACCGATAAGACTTAGGGCCTTTAAAAAAAGAGAGTATCATTCCCTGATAGGACGTCAACACACCTGCTAGCCCCCGGCGTTGCAGGTGTCCATCGGCGGCGGTTATCACTTCCAATAAAAATATATATGTATAGTTGTAACTGCGGCACGGGCGACAGTTACTAGTTTAACTGGAGAAGCTAATCCGAAACAACTAATACTACTAAATACACTCACAAAATAAATCATTAAAATAAATAACACAAAAAATGCAACATATCCATAATTAGTGAATTATTCAATCATGGGTAGTGATTCATATATATACTTTATGGTTGGATCTATTGTGAACCTATTTAAACCATTTAATATATATTAAGGACATACAGACCAGAGCACAGACGTATCAGAGCGGGATCCACCTACCGTAACGAAGGTGGATATGTCCACTACGTAGATTTTGAGAGAAATCATCCCGAGTACGGTGTAATCGCAACCTTTGACGCTGACATCAATGTTGTAAAACTGACTACTCCCCTGGTCTGGAGTCCATCGATCCAGAGGGGAACAATTGTGCCACAGGGTTACGTTCTTCCTGACAATACCCCCGTAGTCCATGCAGGTTGGGGAAACACTACTGTAAGTAAATCATTGACATTTTCTTTACACCAGAATACTAAGACGTAATTTAAATTAAATGCAATTGTCAATTAAGTAGAAGTGCCGACTGTCATTGAGTATTAACGGTTTTGAGTATTATACGAGTATACGCGGCAGAATCATAATTGTAAATTACTAGGCGAAATAATTAAAGATATTTTTCGCGAAACCCTTCAGTTTTTTGAAAGGGGGCAAGTTCAAAGACGTAAAGTGCTAATATATTCGATTTCAGCCAGGTGGGAGTCCATCAAGGGTCCTCCGTCACGTGGAAATATACAAAGTCAACAACTCCCTCTGCACTGACCGCTACAATCAATTACCAGGCCCTAATGTCTCACCCAACATGATCTGTGCTGGTCTGTTAGACATTGGAGGCCGTGATGCCTGTCAAAGAGACTCTGGTGGTCCATTATACGCTGGAAATGTCATCGTCGGTATTGTATCCTGGGGACATGGATGCGCAAATGCACGTTACCCTGGCATTAGTACCAAAGTCTCCTCATACACTAACTGGATCATTCAAAACGCTCGCTAAAGTAACTCTTAATTATTTTATAAATAAATTATATATTATTTCAGAGATTTTTACTTTTCAATCCCTCAACGTCGATGATTTCATAATTTTTATCTCAATAATATTTAATCCAAGCAAAATCAAAAAATAGATTTCGGTTAATTTAAATATATAGAGGCCATATTTTCAATTGTTTGACGCAGCCAGTCCTGAATAATGCATTACCTACATTGTTTTAGTTTATTTAAAAATAGTCATAACATACTGAATATTATGTGGAAAATGAAAATATATGATGAAATGTATTATTTTACCAGAATCTATTCTGATAAACGTAGCTCAATTGGTTATACTCTAAATGGAACACCGGAACTCGTATATATGGAACACCGGAGCGGGTTACCATGCTATATCATTTGCGACCGATTCCACTTCAGTTTGGACAGTTATACGTAGGAAAGTGAAGTCGCCTTAACTGACTTCACGTTTTTTTTTGGTATTGGAGATAAGGAAAGTTCCACCTGGGTGAGACGGGCCTACGGGGTCTCCACTGTACGATACGTCGCTTTTTTGACTTATTATTTTAATAATTTACAAGGTTACACAACAGTAATAAGGACCAAACTTTCAATGACTATTTCAGGCTTATATTATAGGCGATTATGAGAATTAAAGAAGAATATAACATTGTTAGGTAATTGAAGAACCCGAAGACCGAAGTCTAAGTACGTCTGAGTTTAATGCTATCTAGTGAAGTTTCACTGAACCTGCTAAAGGCGTTCTCCTTACCTTCTGTTGACTCATTGTAACTTTAATACATCTTTAATACACAATTATTTATTTTAATAAGCGGCTTAAACTCAAGACATATTTATCAAAAAGAATTAGTATAAAATAAGATTAGCCACATATCGACAGTTGTAGGGCAATAAATTAGTGTCGTATTAGAGTTTCTGTTGCCATACATTAAATATTACAAATTAAAATAATTAAATATATAATACAAGTTAATTTAAAAATAATATTTTTAAATTATCGTTAACATATCACTACCAGAAAATATTTAAATAATGTATAAATAATATTGTTGCTTATAGTGAAGCAATTCTTTAATAAAGCTTTAGTAGCAATCTTAAGATGTGATGAGAACGACCAGGATAATTTAGAAACCAAATTAATTTTTTAGTCAGCTCGAAAATATCCTTATATAAATATCATTCGAATTTAAAATAAATTATAAGACAGTAATTATTTTTTTGTATATTATACAGTAATTCAATTTAATATTTCAAATCGAAAAAGGCTCAGGAGAAAGTTCGTTCGTCAACAAATTACCGATGATCAAGCAGATATGATATGAAATATATTTTTTTAGATTATTAACACGTGTTCGTTATCAATTGTTTAAATTGTAATTCATATTAGGTATTGTGGGATTATACCGATCCACATATGAAGGGTTTTACCTATTGTTTATCTATCAGTAGAATATATTATAATTCCCTGTTTTAATTTCCGTTTAATAATAATTCCGAGAGTAATAGTGATCTGCTAAGTATACAAACGTAAAATAGCTGATACAAATAAGATGACATTTATTTCAAGTGTATGAAAGTGTATTCACAAATGTTTTGTGTATTTTTAAATAATCTCAATTAACATTAGAAACATACATTTTAAAGTATGTTTCGACAATTTCTTGACAATTAAATTTGATTATTCCGCTAATACTAATTCTAAACGAGAATAATAATGATGTGGACTACCTAATTCATTATTTTACCAAATTAATTTTTAATGGATGTTGACATCATAATAATAACTAGGCCTGAAAACGGATTTGCTGAAAACTTTACCACTCGACTTGAACACTTGTTCTGAAACTGCCTGAAAAAAAATCCGCCTCCTGAAAACTAGGTTAACATTATGCAAATTACAATTTTCTAACATGTGATTGACCCTCTCCTGAAACGGTCATAAATCATAATTCAGCATGCTGAAAGTTCTTTAACTAGTGGAAAAATCTAGAAACATTGCAGTCAACCCGTCTTCGTAACAATATGTATCAACTATTATACAACTATTTAAGTTTTGTTGTTGGTAGGTTGTTTGTGTTTTAAATTAGTTAAGATAAAAAAAACAATTACATAACTTTATTTACTAAATCAACGAGCTTTTTCCAATACCCAGTTTGTATAAGATGCAACGTTAGTACTGATACCGGGATAGGTTGCGTTGGCGCATCTATGTCCCCAGGATACAACACCAATGATGACATTCCCTCTATCACCCCTCGCGTATAATGGACCGCCAGAGTCTCCCTGACAGGCATCACGACCTCCGACATCCAGAAGACCAGCACAAATCATATTACGAGTAACGCTTGATCCGCCTAACTGCCGGTAACGTTGGTTACAAAGATCATTGTTGACTGTATATACTTGAACATGCTGAAGGATTGATGACGGCAGTCCGTTGAACTGAAATCCCAACAAGCTGAAAATCAGTTAAATTGTTCAAAACATAATTATAAATAATATTTAAAAGTTCCCCATCATTACCGTGTATAGAATTTTTTTTATTCAATGGCAAAGGCCAAAAAAAAGAGTTTTTCGCGATTTTCAGCAAAACGGTAATTTTTATCATAAAAGTATCTTAGACGAAATTGTAGATCATTATCTATAAAAAAATATCAATACTTTTTTTCCTACGAGCCACCGCTTCTGAGATATTTAAAAAAAACTTTTCGATTCGATTCAAAAATTTATAAAATGGGATTTTATGCACCTTCCAAAGTCTAAATTTACCGGACTAGTTTGGTTTTGGAATCATCGACAGAGACGAGACACAGCGCGACCCATGACATTCGTATGTCATACGTATGCCATTTTCTGCTGACTTCTAGAGAACTACCAAGTGTCCGTCGACCCTCCTTTGGATTCGGCGGATCATTGCGTGTGTGCCTACTCGGGCCTCCGACCCCGCTTTGTTGTCGCCCTATGAGGTCAGCAGATTGGGACGAGATGCGATGAGTGGTACCATCTACCCACTGTAGTATTTCCGAACCAATTCGACTCCTTCGTTAGGGTCGTTCGTCTTAGAGTGCGTACTAATTCTTATAAGCGAGCCCTCTGGCGTATAGAGTGTGCGCGGGCGGCGGTATTACTTACCATCAGTTGAGCATTCTGCCCGTTTGCCCTTTTTTCTATATAAAAACATATTGACATACGGCGTAACTACTAGCGCTAAGTCTCGACACTGAAGTAGAAATTGTATCCATAGATCTACATCTTATATAATTATATAAATATATATTAAACTGAAGCTATTTGCTACACATAATATACCCACACTTGTATCTCCCCATCCAGCATGCACTACTGGTAAATTATCAGGAGTTACGAAGCCGTGTTTAATGATAGTTCCTCTTTGGATTGAAGGAGAGAGATTGAGAGGAGTTTTAAGTTTCACAACAGTGATGTCAGCGTCGAATGGGGATGCCACGTGGAAACCAGGGTGGTTAATCTCATATTCCACATAGTGGATGAAACCGCCAGTGTTACGGTAAGTGCTTCCAGCTCTTATACGCCTATCCTCGGGGGTGTAGAGCCTGAAATTGGTTTAATAGTGGGTTAATTGCAATTCAAAATAATATTGCATTAAGCAACGCTACTACGGGTTTTCTTGACAAACGAATATTTTTGACCTTCGATTTTCTTATTTGGTGATTACTTCAACAGTAATTATTGACTTTTTTACACATATTACCCACACATTGTCTATGCTTGACAAAGAAATGCATATTTGAGGATTCCTACAAAAAAATAATACGTTTATATACCTACTATAATTTTTGAGAGCTTACTTTTGCTTTTGCAATTTTAAATCAGATACACTGTGTCACTATCATTTTGGTCTTGAAATTTCGTGAATAATTCATATAAATATCATCTACGGGTTAACGGTGGTTGAATATTACGAATTGGATCGAATAATTTTATTGACATTCGATTTCGGACCACAAGACTATCTAGCTTTGTATCGAATTCAAGTTTATGAATATTCGTTGAAATACAATTAGATCGATCCATACCTCGATAATTGCTGAATTCCACACAGTTAATAAAATAAAATATAAAAAAAAACCTTTTTATGGCTGGGCCTCAGATTTCTGTATATGTTTCATGATCATTTGTTAATCTAATAGGCAAGTAGGTGATCAGCCTTCTGTGCCTGACGCACGCCCTCGTCTATTTGGGTTTAAGGCAAGCCAGTTTCCTCACGATGTTGTCCTTCACCGTTTGACCGAATGTTAAATGCGCACATAGAAAGAAAGTCCATTGGTGCACAGCCGGGGATCGAACCTACGACCTCAGGGATGAGTGGATCGCACGCTGAAGCCACTAGGCCAACACTGCTCTACTAATAGAGTTTTAATAAACAAAAAAATACCAATCATCGAAACAATGAGCTGCTGATAATATCCAATAAGTTTTTAGAATATTTGCACCGCACTCTTGATTCCAAACACCCCAACCAAGATGCATCTCAACTTGAACTATGTCGGGATATTGCTCAATGCTTGTGTCTTTGCCACCGACAATACGGCTGGTCGTAGCCAGGGTAGACCCTGAAAATTTTAAAATTTTATTTAAATTATTTGCCATTACGCAATTGCAAAATAAGGAAAATAACTGTTGTAATTCATACAAAATTTTGACGTTAAACTCTTAAAGATATATGATCATTATCAGGGTCACGGGACTATAATTAACTAATTTATAAGTACACTTAATTACAAACATAAACGCTAATTCTAAGAAGCGGTCTTAGGTAATACTAATGAGTTGTCTCTTCCGGAATACTCATTGCTCGTGTTAATTAGAATAAAAAATGATGTAAGCGCAAAGAATTATAAATTATACCAACAACTGAACTAAATAATACGATAAATACTGTTTGGTTACTACTATAATAACAAGATTAGATAAATGTAGCGTAGATAGTCTAAGATACAATAGAAATTTGAGTTTTACCAACAAAAAGAACCGTCACTAATGTATGTAAGTTATTCATATTGTGAATGCACATTCATAAGTCTAGCTTGTCGAAGTTGTTGTATTTAAAGACTGAGATAAAGATGATTATACTATGACTGTAGTAAATTAATAATTTCTTATCTTTATTAGACCGAGTGGTTTTCGGCTAATTTATCTGCGTATAAACTGATCGTGGTCCGAATATCGCCGAAACTGTATTTGTTTCAAGTTTCATTCTAAGTAGCTTAAGAAGGAACGTTTTCCATTTATATGTATAAATATGTTAAAAGCAAAGAATTCAATTATTATACCTTCTTGACATTTTTTTAATACAGAATTGGACAGACGGCCACAATCCCACCTGATGTTAAGAGATTTGGCTTATTGGAGCCACGGCTGTCCAGGAGGTGCATGTTCAAGCGACGCTTGTATGAACCAAAAATGAATTATTTTTAATAGTTTTTGATTTATTAAGAGGTTATATTAATCAATTGGCTTTTTAATGATTGATGATCATTAATTTAATTCTCCAATAAAGCAGAATGCAATCCAAAAACATAACTTGTAATAAGCAAGTCTCGCTACGCAATTATTCTACCGTAAAAAGTTGTGAGATCCAAGGCTGTTAATTTATTCAGTCTCTACTTAAGGGACCTTCTTTATTAAGTTATTACGTAATTAGCAAACCTAACATCTTATACTGTACCATATCAATATTATAAATCTTTTCTCTTAAAAAATATATTGACTAAATACTAATAGTATTAAAATTGAAGCTTCTATGTCTGCTAGAATTGCCTTAGTGTTTTTTTTCTAATCGGTCAGTCTAAATTTGACTAATTATAATTTTAAAACTACTCCAAAAAATGGTCTGAACTGCTTTGAGGATAGGATGGTACAGCCGTGCCGTACTGCCGTATAAGCTGTTGATATATTAATAGTATTTCAAAACTTTTACGAGCATTTTCAAAAATATTTCTGTAGGTAGTACCTACCGTAAGTTAGGGTAAGTTTCATAGCATCTGTGTACCCAGGATGATATAAATATCTCTAATGTGAGGTAGTCTACTAGAGTCATCTTGACAGGCGTAACAGCTATTTGCTTGTTATGTATGTATGTTGAGCCTACTCACCACTTTTGCAACAGTGCCCGCTGCCAATACGTATCATTCTATTTAAGCTCCTCTTGGATACAGTGCAACAGAAGTAACGACAGTTCTAAGAGGAATGACTAGATGTAAATCTCCCATAATAACTGGATAGGCTGCTTGATTATTACTTGTGCAAGCACGTGGCTAAAGATGATGCACAGTTTTTTTTAAATCCATATCTACGGAAAGTGCAAATAAATTATGCGGACTGGTTATGGTTAATCGAAAAATATGTGAAACGTTTGCGGCGGGTTCTCTTATAAATTTAAGCTTTGCTTAGGTTTAAAGTATATTTATTTTGTGCGGTACGCTTTTTAATAGCGGTGTGTTTGGCCCAAAGTATATCATATCCTACTTAAACTATTATTTAAAGTATGGCTATACTATACATCATCACACAGATACATCTAATATATAAAATTCTCGTGTCACAATGTTCGTTCCCATACTCCTCCGAAACGGCCTGACCGATTCTTATGAATTTTTTTATGCATATTCATTAAGTCTGAAAATCGGAAAATCTATCTTTCAAACGCCTAAGTGTTAAGGGGTGTCCACCCCAAAAAAAATTGTTTTATTTTTAGACAACATTTTTTTTAATGATACAGCATACAAAAATACATACAACCATTAATTTTCATCTACCCTCTACGATCAACCCCTAGGAGGGCTCTACATCAGTTCTAGTTTATGCAACTTGTTTCTTGTGTTATGCTTAAGTGTGACCTTGTTGGTGCAGCTAAATAATCATAATTATGTAAATTTATGACACTTTGACAAAAGGTTATCTAATCCCACAAATTTATGGCCTATATTTATCGTAATACTGCTATTGGTAGTCACAGATAAAAGATAACATATTAAGTATGGTAATATAAAGATTAATCAACTCGATTATTGATAATTGTACTTTATGTTCCTAGTATTACACTTTAACCATAAAAGTAATACAGGTAAATAGCCCGTATATGTTCTTAAAAATTCGTAAAAAAAATAGCACGACCATAGTCTTGAATATGGCGTATTCAAGACAATCTACCAAAGCGGCGGAAGCTGTGTTCGCGATAGCAATTTTCCCTCTCATATTATTTTTCGTTGATTTCTTTTCTTTATTGTATTCTTCTCGCTTCATTCTCACTTTGCCTTAATGTCAAAAATCATTTATTCATGTAGGTAACACAATGTATACTTATGAACGTCAAAAAAAGAAATATACTTTAAATGCTTCTAATTTTACACTTACTGCCAGTTCTCAAATCAAGGGCGTAGAACAGAAGAGAAGAACTGGCAATAAACACTCCGCGACTCTTTTTAATCGCCAAGTTTTTTGTTTTACACAACGTTTGTAAGGAGCTGCAACCATTACACCATGTTCCACATGACATGTGCTGTGTAATTATTATTAATATAAGTGTTTTGTAACTTACTTTAAACTTTATTTTATATTTATTATATGGTGCTCGTCTCACGCGCACCTAAACCTTCTATATGGTTACATTTCTAGCACATCTGACCCTTAGAGAATCAAAAAAGAAATAGACTTGGAAGGCGCTTTTACTTTATTATGTTTTAAAAAACAACTCTTATTATCTTATCAAACTTGCGATTCTGTAACTCACTTTTCACTGATAAGGAGGGAGCTTGTAGTTTATTGTTTATCAGAATGCCAAGTCGTAAAATGACTGCTTTACAACTGATTTGAGCGCGACTGCCGGTGTGAATACCGCTGTGAGAGTTTGAAAAGTGAGTTACAGAATCGCAAGTCTGGATTAAATTATACATTTTTGAAAAAAAAAACGTCACTAAGAAGTTTTAGGACTGTACTTCTATTATTGTAACGCCAACACAATTTTATTTTTACTAAATTTTGGCAATTTTCAATTAAGTTCACCTCGCTCAATGAATAAGAAAAAAACACGTAAACGCGGCCTACTCTAACGCCTCTACGGTATACGTTAATAATGTTTAATGAAATTAAAGGTATACTAGGAATTCATCGGAACGAGAGAATGGAAAATAAAAATCTCAAAAATAATTAAGATATTATTTCGAAAAGTAAGGGTAGAGTGATTTTAGACAGCGTTCTTAGTGATCCAGTTAGTGTAACTAGAGACTTTGGTACTAATGCCAGGGTATGTTTCATTTGCGCATCCATGTCCCCAGGATACTATACCGACGACAATCCCTCCAGCATACAATGGACCACCAGAGTCTCCCTGACAGGCATCACGTCCTCCAATATCTAAAAGTCCAGCACAGATCATGTTAGGTGTAACGACGTTAGTGCCTGGTAATTGTTTGTAGCGATCCCTGCACAGTATATTGTTGATTTTGTACATTTCTACGTGTCGGAGAACCCTTGATGCAACTCCATCAAACTGAAATGAAATAAGTTTTAATTTTAACTAAGAACTACTTTCACAGCTCAAATACAGTTTTGAAAACAACCAAGGTCAGGCGACGACCTGGCTTTATTAATTATTAAGTCGCACAGAAGAAAAAATTATTTTGATTATTCAACGTTTTCCTTTGGTTATATTCTGTTTACAATTATATTGGAAAGCAAATATAACTTACTTAAAATCAAAATACTAGTATTTGTAAAGTGCCTTAGTGTAAAAAATTACAAGAATAATGATGTACTTACAGAAGTGTCCCCCCAACCTGCGTGGACCACAGGGGCGTTATCAGGCAATTCATAGCCTTGTGACACGATAGTTGCTCTCTGGATCACTGGATTCCAGACCAAAGGAGTAGACAATTTCACAATGCTGATGTCGGCATCAAATCTTGCGGCTTTACGGTATTCTGGGTGGTTTATCTCAATATCTACGTAGTGGACAACTCCACCTTCATTACGGTATGTGGTTCCAGCTCTGATACGTCTGAATTCAGGTGTGTAGTTCCTAAAATATATATTTGGATTATATACACAATTTAAATTCTACTTTAATAACATAAAGATGCGGGGCAGGTAACATATAAAGGTACTAATGCTTTTTCGAAGCAAAGCAATGAGTAAACATGTTGTATCAACTCCTTCTCCTTATTATTTGCATACACTACAACGATCAATGGATAACAATAACAGCAATTCATAGACATACGTGCTCGATGCTATCGTGTAGGGTGCAACAAATTCAATCTTTGTATTGAAATTGGTTAAGAATTAAGATTTTTTACTATAGGCTAAGATTTAATAAGTAACGCGCCGATTCCAATACACAATGCAACTAACATAAAATGACTATTATTTCGAACATATATACAACATAATGTAACAATTCAAGTTTTTGATTACATTATTATTATTATTATTAAAATATCATAGCATTTATATTCGATGATCTTTCGTCATTCATATTTAACAGTATATTAATATAAACGTCAAATACATTTTCTTACCATCCTTCAAAACAGTGCGCTGCTGATAAAACCCAGTTTTTTAAGAGGATATTGGCTCCACACCCTTGGTTCCAGTTACCGTTAAATGTATTGTAGGTCTCCACTTGCACTATGTATGGATACTTTTCGATTGTTGTTTCTTCTCCCCCAACAATTCGATTGGATGTGGCGAGGGCACTTGCTGAAATTCAAAATATTAAAAATATATAAGTAATATATACCATATTAAGTAGGTAATAGCCGATTAGTAAATATGTTTGGATTTAATATTCCTAATCCTTACTCAACATCTACATCTGGAGCTTTGTAAATATTCCGTAAATATTACATAAAGAAATGTGAGTTTTATATATCGTATGTTAGCCACTTAATTGAAATTTGCTTACTATAAAAAAAAATCTCTACCTATCGTCTACAGCGCGAAACTATGTATTTCATGAAAGACATACTGGCGAAATTATTTTATAACCAGACCATATCCAAGAATAAACAGCCTCTAACGATATAGATATAAACACAAGTAATATCAAGACTAAAACAAGCCGTTATAATTAAGTAAGAGTAAGAGTTAAGTTTTTGCATGGCGTTAGCTAATTGAACAAAATATAGACAGGCCTGAATATGATAACGGATAGATCAAATCAAAGTGAAGCTCATATCTAGACATTTGTAGTTTTTTATTAATATTACAGAATCCAAGCGGTATGTAAGAAATTTCATGTACGGTGGTTGATTCAGAAAATAAGATCTTTCAACAAACTCATGGCTAGAGAATGCATTCTCGTGCCATTTATCGAGATCAATCTCGAAGCGTAACATGGCGAGATCTCGTACGATTAAAGCAGATTAAGCGGCAGTATTATCAGAAACGTTGGAAGTTTCTTCGATGAGAAAGCGTATCTCTGAGCAACAATTAAATTCACTTCTATGATAGGTAATAGACTTAAACAATTGGTTTTAGAAAACTACCCTCCGAGATCTCGTGACATTGTATTCTTAAACGCACGAGATCTCGAATTACCGATTTAGACTCGAGATTGCAATCCCTACTAATACTATAAAAAAAAAACTACTTATACAGATAAAACAATATGGCCAAGCTCTATCGACAAACGTCAACATTTTAGCTGAACAATTTAGTAATTACCATGATTTCATGACACGTCCGGCAAATCACGAAGTTAAATCTATGAACAGCTAACCGCGTAAATAGGTAACAAATAGTCTTTACCTACAAAGAGCAGGACTGCCAACGGAAGAAGCGACATTTTGAATTTTTCTTCGTAAAACTGAAGGAAGAATGCGTCGTTGGGTATTTAAAGAAGTGCAGATCATAAAAATAATCTATCTCTTTATTGGTGTAGTAAATTATCAATCTTATCAACTAATCATATTTAAAGTTGAGTCCTCTATAATTATAATCCATTTGTCAGGAAAGATAGACATATGATATTCATATGACAACTTGGTTTAGAAGGAATAATTTAAATAAATAATAGTTCTAAAAAGTTAAAAATATCGCTTTTAACTTTATACTTAAGGACTCCTCCAGAGTTTTCACTTAAGTCCATACATGGATATTGGATAGTGTAGGCACAATCATAATATCTAAGTATCTCTTCGTCTACTTCTGTCTTGCACCCGTCCATCTTACAATAGGTCCTCATTTTTTTAGCCTCTACCTAGTCAGATGTTCTCTTAACGAGGCCGGTACACTGCTAGTTTAACCTTGTGTTATAGATGATAAAATCATTGATTAAGGGTCGATTCGACCAAACTTCAATTTATACACGAGTAACTATACCAGGAATAATCTATTCCATGATTTTAATCTCGAGTAAATCCATAGTCGTTTCTCCACGTAATCGATAGTATAATTACGCTAGGAATAACAATACGCGAATAGCAAGAGAATGGTGAACGAAAATAAAACTCGGCAAATAAATGTTGTTCTACGACGGGATAGTGTAAGAGCAAACATCATGTCAACTCGATTTTGCCGTATTATAGTGTGAAAAAGTAGCTGTAGGCAGGTGTCAAACGACAACAAAAAGTTTTTATTTGTTGTTTGTTTGAGGCTGACGTCTAAAAAGGAACTTCTGTTGAGCCTAGTTGAATTTCATTTTAATATTATAGAAAATAAAAAAAATAAAAAAATAAATAATAAATTGTTTAAACGTTTCATTATACAATGCCAGACTATTAATTTAGTGCGTTGCGTTGACTTGAAATGAAATCACAGAATAGATATTTGTGAAATGACAGAAATCAGATGATTGGACTGACTGACGGCATTAAATTATTCTAGGAATAGCTGTTATTCCGTGCGAAACGGCGGTATAGTAACAATTCCCGAATAAGCCCACTATTCTTAGAATTTGTAGATGGTAAAACGTAAAATTGATTTACTCTCGATTAACTGACGATTTATTCTAAGATTAAAATTTACTCTTGTTTGGTCGAATCCACCCTAAATAAAATTTAGCCAAAATATATCCTTGATTTTCAAAATGTTACTAAAGTACCGATGTTTTCATAAAATAATTAGAGTAATTACAAAATGTAGCAAGATCTATACAGTGGTTTTGGTAATACATACTTTAGTGGGCAGCTGGTTCTATCTACATAGTGGTGGTGCGCGGCAAGAACTACCTTGTGGAACGGCGGACGTCGAGGTGATACGGGTGGAATTTCGTATTCTGCCTCGACGTCCGATGATGAAACTCAGCTGCAGGTATTAATCTGGGCTCCGGGAGTTTCACTCACTACTATAAGATGAACCTATTGCCCGTTTGGCTGAAGCCTGAAAGAAACAGCATGGCGCAGTGGGAACTAGGACGGGGGTTGACTAATTGCATTAGCGAATCAGTCACTATTTACAATTTAAACAGATAAGCATTGAGTTACAGCCATCAACGGTTGTTGTCAAGAACGAGGACGTAGCAGTCTCAATGCTTACCATCCAGTCAATTGTACCAGCGTAACAGAATCATTGTTAAGACCTCAAATCTATTTGAATACAGTAAGACAACTATTGATTTTTAAATGAATAATTTCATTAACATTTTTATATGTTACGTACATTAAGTTTACTTTAAAATAACTTTATTCATATGAGGTAAACAAGTAGGTACACTTATAAACGTCAAAAAAGAAGTTAAATTAATTGTAAATTTACATTTACTACCAGTTCGCAAGTCAAGGGCTGTATAATATAACTTATCTTTAAGTCTAAAATTATGTTATTTTTTTATTATTAATACAATAGTAACATAATTTTAGACATAAAGATAAGTTCTAGAGAAGATCTACTATTTATTTATTTATGCTTTATTACCTTATTCACAAACATACACATAACAAAAATAAAAAAAACAGGTTACAAAAGTTATAAGGCAACGGGCGGCCTTATCGCTAACAAGCGATTTCTTCCAGGCAACCCTAATGTGGAACAATGAAAAAGAAACACCTACAGAGGGTAGAGTACAAGAAATGCAAAAATTATTAACAAAAAAAAACTCAAAATAACACGTTACTATAACAGCTAAAATAAAATAAAGTAAAGTCTAAAGAAAAAATAACAATAATAATAAATAAAAATATGTATAAACAAAAATTTAAAATATAATCAAAAGTTTAACAGAGTCACAATAATTAATACATATCAGTAGAGCTAATTACGAGGCAGAAAGAAAATGATCAAAAAGAAACTTTTTGAATAAATTTAAGGACTGAGCTCGTCTAATATCAATTGGTTTATTTAATGACCTAAAGCATGCTGAGAAACAATATGTTTTATTTTTAATTAAACTCACCTGTCTAACATCTACTTTTTGATTTGTAGATAAATATATTTAATTAGATTATAAAAATTAATAGTTATGAAAGATAAAATAAATAGCTTAAGCTTTAGCTTAGCTTGATTGTAAACAAAAGAAATTAAATTCCAAAAACAAAAGCTTACTAAGTACCTAAACGTGTACATAATGGTGATATTTCATATATACAATGTGTTCTAGTGTAAAAAATAAGAATTTTCCTTTTTTTAATACAACACCTTATTGCTATTTATCATTTATTATCAATTAAATGATAATAGGATAGTTGAAATTAAATAATTTGAAAATATCTGCTTTATTGTCTTTCTTTATCTAGGCTTTGTCATTGATGAGTGATTGACAAATTTGATATTCTTTTTCACAGGCTATCCAACCACGAATTTTGAACTTTTGGTACTGTGAAATTTTACAAATATAAATACTTTAGTATACATACTTATAAAAATGCGAATATTTTACAAAAATATGAGACTTAAGAGAAGAAAATTCTTGATAATTTTGAGGAAATTACCTTTTCTCGTTCTAGGTATGTCTGCAAGAGACAAGGCATGATCAAGAATGCATCTAACAATTGGGTCTGAGATAAAAAAACAAGGTTATTATATAAAATGTTAAATTTTACTAAGCATAATACATATGGATATTATTTTTTTAATCAGATTGTGTCTTCAGTATAATAAAGTGATAAAATAATGCAATAATAGAAGTTGTATAACATGGTCTAGTTGACCATGATATTTAGAAGAAAGTAGTCTATATAATATATTTTGTAATAAAGAAAAATATTTATTCGATTATAAACAAAAATATACAAGAAGCAGAACTCAGCTTTAAGTTACCGTCAACCGTGTTGCTAACACTTCACCCATTTATACAACATCTTTTTAAATTCTGACAATATATATTTTTATGCATATTTTGTTTTGTGATAGTAGGTAGTTTTTTGCCTTTAGTGATTACTGTTTTCATTGCCTACCGAAATTATTGTGTTAGTTATGCTGCTGATAAGAGATAACATATTGCCGTATACAATACTTAATCAATTTTGATCATTTATAATGCCTGTAATGACCCTCTATAATGACCTTTTGCTGACGCATCAGGAGATCTATCAAGTCTCTGTTGACCCGCCATTGAGTTCATCGGATCATAGCGTGGTTCGTTTCAAGCGGCGACATCTCATGATCCTAATACGAGCCAACCTAAAAAGCATATAACTGTGGCTCCAGGTCCTTCAAACAGATTGCTAGGGTAATAAAGTATTATGTAGTGTATGATTTGGAAATTGGCCCGCCTCTTCTGATCTATTGCTAAAGCTTTCCAAAGGAATTTCTGTCCCTCGATTCCGTGATATGCTTTGATGCCTGAAATTATATTCCGGCAACGTGCCTTACATAATCTCAATCGCTCTCATCCGTTAAACTATCGCCCATTAGCATAACCTCCATGTTCTCCAAAATAATGGAATCGTAATAATTTGTACAGCTTGCCAGTCAGCAGACTGTGAAATGTGTATGAATGCTATATGTCATAAATGTCAGGAGTACCTGTACACTATATGTATGTGTATGTAAGCTGCACTAGATAACTAAATATACAAGAACGTGAGATCTAAGAACCTAACAACCCTAAGGATCCCTAAGCTCTACAGATGTTCCCTAACACATTAATAGTGAATATATAAATAAATACGGGATGTCTGCCCCACCAGATCTAAGGTAACAGATGGAGCCCTACAGGTAGGATCACAATAATTAAGGGCTTGAAGGCGGCTTTATATATGTCGGAGCAATGGCACTGGTATCGGCTGCCATTTTCATTATTTAATAACTTCAAAGTCAAATCAGTTAAGATCTACAAATTAACAGACTATTTGATAGTTATTTTTTTAATTACTACGTGTTGAAGCAATGGTGTTAGTGTCAGCTGCTATTGTCATTATTATTTAAAAACATTTAATAGTAATCATTAAAATAGGGTCATTATTATTATTATCGACCATATAGTCGTTTTGAAATAAACCATTCGTATTAACGGTTTTGCACTAATTTGACTTAAACATTACAGGGTAGGCACAAAGATAGGTATTCTCTTGGTCCAGTTCATTCCTGCTGCTTGAGCCCTGTCCATCTTACAATAGGTCTACCTGATAATCTATTACCTCTACACTAGTTTTTTCTCATAGATGAGAGCATCATTATGTTAAGTTAAATTTAGGCAATTGTCTGATCTAATATGTACGAAGAATTAAACCTTCTCGTCATTTCTCTCAACTGACGATTTGTATTCATATTTGAATACTTAAATCATTTATTGGAGTAATTAGTCAAGGATTTTGTAAAATGATCAGTTTTTTAAATAAAATGTGATCGTGGGTTGTCATAACAAAAACTCATGTTTTCAAACATATAACTATAATTTTATTTATTTGACATTACAACTAACTAAAATATTTATATAATTAATACTTATCAGATTGGTAATGTAGGAGATTAATAATTAAAATATGACAAATTATACATAAGTAAACGCGATCAAAATTTTCGTGTAAGGCAGTCACAAAGATAGGTACCGTTTGCCCAAGATCAACGACATCTTACAGGCTCATAGGGTGAGATTCAGAAGCGAGACTAAGTCCTACTCATTGATGCCATTTAGTGTCTTGCTGTAGTTAACTGATGTTTAAGCTGATGTTCTGTCTTTTGTTTCTGAATCTAAGGGTAAGATTCAGAAACAAAACATGACGTGACAAACTAAGTCTGTCTACCGTACGTCAATCATTTTGACATAGCATCACTGTAGAATGATAACCTCGTATGTCAAAAACTATTTATATTTTATTCTTAGACTCTTATGTCATTTCACTGGTATAATCATGAAGTAAGGACTTATTTATGTTATTAATAAATAAATCCTAACCATCCAAAACTAAGGACAAAAACACATAATAATATTTTAACGAACATTGACGAAATTAAAACTTTTTTTTCGTTTCCTGTGTTTGGTTCTCTGGACATACGAGGTTATCATTCCACAGCGATGATAGGGTTCCTAGCAACAGAGGGCGGTTTATAGTTCGCGCCAAGGCTCGTTTCTGAATCTCATCCTTAAACCGCTATCACCATCTGAAAATACCGCATAAACATAATCCCGGAAAGGAACTAGTCTTAAACTTTTTAATATCTCCTTACGAATTAATATCAGAAAGATATAAAAGATAACGACGATTTGTAACTCCTATATATAGAGAATTTCCTAGTTCTTTTTACGTTAATGTAAATTAACAAAATGCTGTCCAAGCTATTCCTCTTTGCAATTGTGCTATCAGCAGGTAAATTATATCTTCAATATTATAATATCAATTAATAAGATTTTGTATATTTGACATGATTGTGATCAACACCATGTTTACTAACAGGATATGCTAAGGAAAAGTCACCGAAAATTGTCGGTGGAGAGGAAACAAATATAGAAACCTATCCATACATTGTTCAAGTAGAAACCTATAATAGATGGACGGGGTGGTTTCAAAACTGCGCGGCCAATATCCTGAACACGAACTGGATTATGTCAGCAGCCCATTGTTTTGAGGGAGCGTAAGTTACTTTACATTCCTAAAAGGGTCCAAAGAAGCTTTAAGTTACTGTCAATAGCAACACTTCACCAATTATAAAAAAAAATTAATTCTGGGAATATATATTTTTATGCATGTTTTGTTTTGTGATACTAATAGCAGTTTTTCTCTTTTAGTGATTACTCGCCCAGCTTTAAACGAATCAGGGCCGGATCAAGTCTCCGAAATACTGGTGGCAGTGTTCACTACGTGGACTATGAAATCAATCACCCAGAATACCGAGTTTTTTCGCGGTACGATGGTGATATAAACGTTGTGAAATTACTTACTCCTCTTGTCGAAACATTGTCAGTCCAAAGAGGTACTCTGGTCGCTCATGGCTTTGCTCTTCCGGATAATTACCCCGTAATTCACGCTGGATGGGGACATACTAGAGTAAGTTATGAAAATAATATTGATCCTACAATAATTTAAATATTTAATAATTACTGATCTAAATTTGAAAATGCATTTTGTATCAACGAAACTTAAACAACGTAAAAATCTGTGGTCTAGTCTAGTCTACAAATTAAATTATTACCACCTACATATACAATACCACGTACCTATCACTAATATACATATTATAATTACTATGCAAGCCAGCCCAAAATATGCTGAATATGATGTTAAGGGACAATTTAATAAATCGCCAACAAACTGTTATACAGTTTGGCGATTTTTTGATGTTGTTGTGTTTGTCCATGTTTTGATAAATAAATTTAAAAAAAAAAGGATATGTACTGTCTCAAGTGTAAATATAAATAATTTTATTCACAGGTTGGTGGAAGTCCTTCCAATGTGCTTCTCCATACGCAGATGTACACAATTAACAACACACTATGTGCCACTCGTTATCAGCAAGTAAATGGTGTTGTTACACCGAACATGATTTGCGCTGGTCTCTTAGATATCGGAGGTCGTGATGCTTGCCAGGGAGACTCTGGTGGTCCATTATACGCTTCTGGCCAGAATGGACATATTATTGTTGGTGTCGTATCCTGGGGACGAGGATGTGCCGATGCATTTTACCCTGGATTAAGTACTAACGTTGCTTCTTATACCAACTGGGTACTGGAAAACGCTCGCTAAAATATTGAACAATTAAAACAAATTAAATAGATACATTCTTTGTTTTATTCAAAAATATAATTTACTTAACAATTGTAGTATATACATACATTATAGTATGTATATATACGTATTACAAACTGTTTAGTGGGTGATTAATGCCGCTTAACGCCTAATGAGTTTATACTAACCATAGGTACCTATTTTAATGTGTTTTTCGTGCAAAAGTAAATTTATTTTATTTCATGTTACAAAGCGCAATATTTAATCAAATCTTAATGTAATTTAAAATTTTGGTTATAGCATAAAATATATCATCTTAATATACCTATCGACTGTGTGTGTTCCAAGAAAATAGTTGTACCACCCATTCATTTTAAAATGTTGTCTGTTCCTAAATTATGTACCTCGACTTGGTACTAGAAAAGAATTCAGACGTCAATTTTTAAAGGCTATGAATCACTTTATAAATTTGAAATCCAAAACTTATTAGGTCACATCTAATTCTAAACCCAAACAATTTGTAGGGAACAAAGCACACAGCACAAATAAAAGTGTAGAGCGGTCTAAGGATGTCGGTCATTAACACCCTGAGTACCCTTATGTACTCCTACTAGTGACCTTTTGGGGTTGAAGTTTATAGCCTTGCATACCAACGCCATGTTGCCACCACACACTGTTTATTTTATTATTTTCTTGTAGCTGCATTTTGCTTTTCAATATTTATTTTATCGAGTATAGCAAAATTAATAATCCGATAGTTCTTTATTGCCTTTTGACTACCGATATTAATGTGTTAATTATGCTACTGATAAGAGATAACATATAGCCTTACACAATATTTAATAAATTTTGATAATTTATAATTGTTTTTTTTTCGATGCTAATCCGGTTTTATACTAATGCTTCTTGATAAGCGAATCTGTTGATTAAAGCAGCACATTTAAATAATTATAAAATATGTCTCAAAGATTTAGTAAAGTTACATCTGGCAAGAAGAGAATGAGTTACCATTAAATGAAAAGTTTAACGTCTTTAACAGGTTCAGTTGTATGACACTAGATGGCACTCATCTTAAGTTCTTGAGACTTTATTAGTATTTTGCACACCGTCGTAGTCAAATTCTTATTACGTCTTGTAACTTTGCAAATAATTTAAATCATAATAAATTTTAAGGAAAGGGGAGTTTTCGAGAAGTGGAGACGCCACGTGCTGGTATAGTTTAATAAAATTAGCCAAAACTCGTTCCTTGATGTTACCTGTAGGATTAACATATCTAAGTTATATTAAATAGATAAAAATTAAGTTTATTTGGAAATTAAGGAATCAAAAGTGATAGATATGCCTTCATAACATCCTTCTAAGAGCTTGGCCACAGTTTCTGGCGGTGTGGAGCGCGTCGCGTCAAGAGGGTCTGCGAGAGGCGCGGTTTGCGGTGGTATGCCACAGCTCGACCAGTTGCGACCACGGCCCACAGAACACAATTACCTAAAGGAAGAACGACGACTAGGAACACAGATTTTAAGATACGCGAATGTATCGCCACCTATTATCAACCCACCCAAAACTACATGTGGCGGCAAAAATTTGAATTGCCAGCAGGTCCAGGTTCCCCAGAAATTTATTAATTTCGGATGCATAGACCATTTCATTTGTAAGGAAATTCAAATGAATGAGAAAACTCATTCATTTGAGTTTTCTTACAAATGAAATGGCCTATGCATCCAAAAGAACACTAGATATTTAACAAATGATCTTGAAATAAAACAAAAACGTTTTCTCATTGAATTATTATTTATTTCACTTTTATGGATCCTTATTATTATTTGGACACGAAATCAACATAATTTTGTAATGTTCGTAGTCGTGGTCGAATTACCTAGGTAATTCAAATGAAAAGTTTCTTCTCTACAATGAAGGGCCTGGCTGCAAATTCTCGGGCAGTGTAAGCGCAGGAATGAATACAGGTCTAATCTGTAATTACAAGAATAAATCAAGTCACAGTCCTCATTTACTATCGTAATGTTTTTAGGTTTATATAGGTAGGCCTACATAGTTCAAACTATTACTCACTATGTTTAAATTATAACAAATTTTGGTTAAATTAAATACAATGGTGAGTAAAGTTCACAAGTTACCTCATGCGCAACTGCAGTTCTTAGCAATGATTTTTTAGTGCCATCTGTAAAATCACCTTCGTGGAAGTGATTTTGGCACAGCATCCTGTGCTCAACATACAGCTTTTTTTGAAAAGCTATTGAAGTGTGCTGTTCATCCGAGGGAAAAAGGTATTTTGCCCACAGGGTGCAGCTGAAAATAAACGGGCATAATTGTAGTAGATATCAAAGGTAAGGAGTAAGAAGCACGTAATTATTCTTGTCAAATTCAAGGCGTAGGTTCCATCGACTAGAACTTGAAAGTTGAACTACATTGTATTTTAACCACGACAATTTGACAGTTATAACAAAGACCAAACGTTGTTGACTGCTTTCTTGGGGAATGCAAAAAAAGTTCCAACGTTGACGTATAGGTTGAAATATTGTCAATCGATTTGATGTGATGTTAACTAAGAAGTTAATTAGTTTAGTACGTACCGCAAAAGATTCCGAACTCCGGGATTTCGAAAACGAAACACTAAGAAACGTTTTCCTTTGCCGTGGATTTGCCACACTTCGAACACCTGCGACTATCTTCTTTTCGGTTTTCTTTAGCGGCCGACATTTTCAGATTTCAAGAGTCACTATCTCGTATTCACTGTGAAGCACTAGAGTCACTATCTCAAAACGGGCACAAAACATAAACGGCGGAATAAAAATTCAACTCGACGTTCGTAGTTTGGGAAAATGACGAAATAGCATGGAAAAACAAAATTTCGGGCCACAACAACACCGACAACACCAACCTTGATGTAAAATCGCCATGTTGGTTTTCTAGGTTCTAGGACAATGTTGCTATTAGAAAATTTATTTAAGCATGAATGTTTATATCTTGACAGTGGCAATAATTATTGCCCAAATAGGTATTTTATTTCTCCCATACAAAGTTGATCCCCCCTGCCACGGCCGCATCAGCGGTGGACGTATTTAGAGTATATTAGTTAGTTTTATTAGTTTTATTTCGTCCCACAATTTTTTTATAACATGCCTATATTTATGATGTGGATGTTTTGACATCCATATTGCTGGTCTACTCATAGTCCATTGAAATGTTACATTTTTTAGGCCTTACCTTGCGTTTTTTAGAGGACGCAATTTTATTTTTTTGATGTGTAGAGGGGATCAGTGTAAAGCTAAAAACAAGTTTGTGGGGTCGCCACCCTTGTCCCACGGCCGCCATCTTGGAAAAAGGGGTCCTAAAACCACGTTTTTGGCTATATCTCCTAAACTATCCATCGTACATAAAACTTGTTAAGACACATTTTGTAGCAAATCGCTGTGCCTACAATTATGTCTATGTAACTTTTTATCATAAATCCAAAATTCAAAAAGTTATAAGTAAAAAAGTGAAAACATTTCCTATTTCTAAAGTTGACTAGGTGCGTCAATGCTCATGACAAGCCGATCAAGACAGCAGTTTTACCTTACTTTTAAGAACTCTCGTTTATTTTAAACAAATTTTCCAAATATTTTTTTTTATTTTTTTATATTCCTACAATTTTACTTATTGGTATTCCTAGTAGGCCTATTCCACAGACAACTTGCTGATATGGTAATCTTCGACATAATTATATTATCAATCAGTTATTAGAATGGTAGCTAGCTATCACTTTTTTATTTATAACTTTTTGAATTTTGGATTTATGATAAAAAGTTACATAGACATAATCGTAGACACAGCGATTTGCTACAAAATGTGTCTTTACAAGTTTTATGTACGATGGATAGTTTAGGAGATATAGCCAAAAACGTAGTTTTTGGACCCCTTTATCCAAGATGGCGGCGGGGAGACAAGCACGGCAACCCCACAAACTTGGAGTTAAGCTTGTATTGACCCCCCCTACATGTTCCATAAATAAAATTGCGTCCTCTAAAAAACGCAACCCCAAATGTAACTTTTCAATGGACTATCAGTATTTCACTAATAAATTATTTTGTATCCATTATTTTATATGAGCTCAATGCGCGATAAAAACAAAATTATTTGTTTTGGTCGCGCGATGCTAAATGCGTCCACCACTGCCGCGGCGCGCGCCGCTCTTACTGTGGCCGCCTCGATACTCCCGAGCAGTGTTCACAACCTGAAGCCAGGCAGTTATCGTACCAGGGCCGTAATATATATGGATCACATATACGATAAATTATCGTACAGTCAGGAAAATGGCTAAAAATACTTTAAAAAATCATATGAAACGTGAAAATAAAATGTTGCAAACGATTTATAGTTTAAATCTTGTAAACTTGTGTTTTTCAAATTGAAAAAAATCATAATAATTCAATCTCTTTCGTCAAAGAGGAACAAAAATACGCAATATTTTCTCGTTGAACAATATGGTGTTCGCTCTAAGTGATATACCTATTGTCCGTAAACATCGCATATTATTTTTATCACTTAAAGCCGGGTCCACATTTGTAGCATTTCGGTGTATCGTATCTCCGTTGCGTGGCTTCGGCGCGTATCATGATCGTTAGTTTGGACGCAAAATGATACCCGTTTATGATACATGCCGTATCGGATACGGCCCGATCCGCACTAAGCGCGTATCTTGATACACCTCGTATCCGATACGCGTATCACGATCGGTGGTATGGACGTATTTTGATACTGTATCACGATACTGTATCGCGATACGATACTTGATACACCGCGAACCATCCTGTGTCGGTTTTTTCGCGATGATCAAAGGGAATACACAACATCAATGGGTGACATGCGAGTGAAATTTTTGTATTTTCCGCTGGTATACTGAAATTTTAAATCTCGCATCAATGGTATTCCACCATGTTTGTTTCGGTTTCTAAACACTTCCAGCGCCGTCTACGTCTAGATTTAACTTTTTTTAAATACTATTAATGATAATATAA